ATTATTTATATTATTCAAAATAATATAAATATTATGAAAACGAAGATCTTCTAATTCTAATTTCGGGATTAATGCAAAGTAAAAACTGTGCTGTCATTGCAATTTTTGAAGATAGGCGCTATTCTAACATTTTTTTTAGTATAGTACTGTTTTTAATTTTCATATTTTCAATGTAACACAGTAGCTGATGCAGCTGTATGCCGTCTTTTAATCTTTAATTCTATTATAATTGAAGTTGTACGTTTAAATTGCTTTATGTAATTTAGGTATTTGTTATCTCCATATCTCTTAGTCTGTAGTAGTCTTTTTATCACAATGATATGTTTTCACAATTTGATACAAATAAAATGTATTAACTGTCAAACGACCTAATAAAAAATTTTTCATGCTTAAATACTCGTATATGTATGTATATAAATATGTATAAACATATACATAACATGTATATTATCCAATTAAATATGAAATATATTTATAAATGTCCATACATGCTTCTTTTTTTTGAAAAATTACTTTTTAGTGTAACAAAATAAATAATAATAAAAAAACACGAAGAATAATTAAAAGGATAATTTTCGAATTAGAATTTTTGTTTTAGAAAAAATCAAATTTGGATAAATATAATATATGTAAAAAAATACTGATATATAATTACATGTAAAATTATATATAACTATGTAAGAATAATTTGTTTTACATTTCTCTAAACTTGATTTTTTTCTAAACAAACAACGCGAAAATTGTTCCTTTAATTATTTTTGACATTTTGTCATTATTATTTTTCTTGCATTAAATATAATAATTTTATAAAAGAAAGAAGGATGTACGAACATATATGGACATATTTCATATCTAATTATATAATATGTTTATGAGCATTTATTACATATTTATGTGTATTTATACATATTTATATATAGAGTGTCCCAAAATGATCGCCAAATATTTTGTGTACGGATTAAATTGATTCAAAAAAGTCCTGTATCATTTTATTTGCAATTTTCGGAATAGTTAAGATATTAATTACTAAAGATTACAAGATATTAATTACTCAAAATCACCGAATATTTTTAGTACATTTTTTTATGTTATGTCGTTAAAATTAGTTGCCAGTAAGAAAATGCACCGAAAAGTTAATAAAAAATTCTGAAAAAATTCTTAGAGCTCTATGAGAAGAAGATAAACAATTTTTATCTCTTGCTGTTGTTCTGTAAAGTTAATAATACTTGAGTAAAAAATTTTTTTGATAACTAATATTTGGCAATTTTTAGTAACTAATATCTTATTAATTATTACGAAAATTGCAAAATGGTAGAGGAAAATAACAGTAATAGAAAAGTCAATTTATGAATAAAAAATTAGGTCAAAAATGAAAATAGTTTATTAGAGTGTAAAATAGTTTATTAGAGTATCATTCAATTAGTTAAAAAATAATATATAAGAAACGTTTCGACATTTTACTTATTAGACCGCCTTATTCCATTAAAAAAAATAAATAAAGACAATCTTAATATTTAAAATAATAGAGAACTTTTAGACTCAGTTTAGATCGCTCTATCAGTACACGAAATATTTAACTGTCATTCTGGGACATCTTGTATATTCATGCATGAAAACTTTGTTGTTCAAGTTCAAAACTTTCAAAACACTTCTTCAATCGCGGAGCAGTAGTGGGGATAGCTTCGCTGGCGAAGATTTGCCCATGAAAAGATTATGGGGTTTCAGTGAAGAGCGTTTCAACGCTGACTTCGTTTTTGACGGAGTGGGGGTCTTCACTAGCAAAGCTTCGCTGCATGAAATGGTACCTTTAAGCAATTGGAAAGCACCCACACTGTGCCATGAGACCGCGCCATTAAGTGCGCGATGTAAATTAAATCAGTATTTGCTTGTCTTCCTTTCTTCCTGGCCCTGTGGCCGCAGTTTCCACACTTTTTATCAGATGTCGCTGCGATCAACGAATCTCGCTCAATCACATGAAATCTTCTATTGTGATTTTTGTTGTTTTAGTTATTTTTCACTGCTACCGATTCATTGACTCATTCTGAGTAGAGTATTGACATATTCTGAGTAGAGTACCGCGTTCCTAATTGTTGATTTTAAAACGTGGGTAGTAATTCTCTTCGGTAAAAGAAAAAGATGAGTAAACATCATTCACATGAGTTGAGTGAACATCCGGAGGTTCAATGGGCTCTTAATCTGCTCAAACCGGATCCCATGTATGAGCCCAGTGTGTTGTCGAAGTACTCGACGGAAATAATGCTTATGTTAAGCGGTTTCGCGATGCCATCACTCTCAAATGTATACAACAGTAAGCCGTTCTATACCGGTGAGTGTATCTCGATTTCTTCAACGATCAAATGCGAGATTTATTTCTTTATTCTCAGCTTATTACTCTCGTCACGTGATTATATAATGCCGTATTCGATTTCGGACAATTATATGGACAAGTATTGTGTTTTTATTTTACGTATATATTTTCTTTTGGCGTCGCGCACGCGCGTGCATGCACACACATTCGGCAGCAAGAAAATTCGGTAATTATACAGTTTAGCCCCCGCAGCTCAAAAATCTATAAAATTGGGTTTATCAGATGCGTATTTGCATGAAAAGAATCTAGCAAAAAAAAGCATCGCTCTATCCTGTGAACCGAGATATTAATCTTGTTAGAATTATAATAAACACCTTATTTCATCAATTTTTATTAAAAAACAAAAAACAGATTAAATGTGCAGGAGAATACAAAATTATTAGAATCATTACACCATGATCTATTTTTTAAAATTTGACATTTCTATGTTTTATTTCCTTAGGTTATTCTAATTTATATATACATATTTGTATTTATTTACATATTATTTATTCCCCTTATATTATCATTGATAACACAGATCTGCAAGAGTTTGTAGTTGGGCAGCTGAGAGTCATTTCCGCACCAGTTTTTTGCGTAGAATCCGAATCCGAGCTGAGAATTGTCCCATCACGTCAGGGTTTTGAGATATTTGAGGTTATGTAACCGAAAAATGGCTATTTTGGGGATGTTTGAGGTTAGAAAAAGTGTGTAACAAAATTTTTGTAATTTTTTCTACCTATCTAATCTTTTAGTACTAGTTTTCCTCTACAAAAACAGCCCCTGAGCGTTGCCCTACGTTGTTCCTTTCAAAAGTTATGTCTATTTTAAGATCACATATTCGCGGTATTTGACTGGTTGCTTGTTAATGAGGTTATCAAAAATGAACGGATTCACACCAACGTTGGTATTCAGGGGTTTTCGAGGTTGCTGAT